TTCCTCTGTTGGTGATCCGGAAGCTCAAGTTGGTACAAAATGCAGCCGCTTGGCTTCTTGTGGGAATTCCGATGAGACGCCACATAACCCCAATCTTACTGCAGCTGCATTGGTTACCAATTGAGTACCGGATCACTTTCAAAGTGATGGTACTCACCTTTAAGGCCTTGCATGGTCTGGGGGCCGATGTACCTGAGGGACCGCCTCACCCCCTACCAACCCCAGAGATCCCTCCATTCTGAGGACCAAGATCTATTGGAAATTCCCAGTGTCAAGACCTTGCGTCTAACAGCAACCAGACGCAGAGCCTTTACAGCAGTGGCACCATCACTCTGGAATACTCTGCCACCTGAAGTCCGTGCCTTGCGGGACTTATCAGCTTTCCGCAGGGCATGTAAGACATATCTATTTCGACGGGCCTTTGATCTCTGATTGTTTTTAAATTGTTTTAAATTGTTTTTAAATTGTGATCGATTTTAGCCTGTTCTTGTAAGCCCCAGGGGAGTGGCGGCATATAAGTTCAAATAATAAATAAATAAATAAATAAATAAATAAATAAATATCTTTATTAGAGCCGATCTAATGAAATGGTTTCCGAAATTTTTCTGTTTTCCTTTTCTGATAACATAGATAAGAGTGCCATCCTGACCTTAGATCAAAGCCTTCTAGATTTATAATTTTGGGAGATTTTAGTGTTGCCCAATCTCTGATCCAGCATAGCCCACAAGCCTTGTAATATAACCTCAAGTCCGGGAGTCCAAAACCTCCTCTACTTTTGTCATCTGTTAGATGCTGGAATCTGATTCTTGGTTTTTTACCTGCCCAAATACATTTTGTTAGGTCCTTGTTCCTTTTTTTAACAAAATTGATAGTTCTAGGAGCCCCTGGTGGCGTAGTGGGTTAAACCCCTGTGCCGGCAGGACTGAAGACCAACCGGTCGCAGGTTCGAATCCGGGGAGAGGCGGATGAGCTCCCTCTATCAGCTCCAGCTCCTCGCGCGGGGACATGAGAGAAGCCTCCCACAAGGATGATAAAACCATCAAATCATCCAGGCATCCCCTGGGCAACATCCTTGCAGACGGCCAATTCTCTCACACCAGAAGCTCCTGACATGACAAAATAAATGAAAAAAAATTGGCAGGTTCTGAAACAGGTGTAACATTTTTGGAAGAATATTCATTTTAATAGCAGCTATTCGTCCTAATATAGATTTAAGTGTCTCCAATTTTCTAGATCTTGCTGTGGCCAACCTTTTCTCCCTCTTTCTCTCCTTTTTTTCCATCCCTTCCTTCCCTTTTTTTCTTTTTTCCTCTGCTTTTCTTCCTCATCCCTTCCTTCCCACCTTTTCTTTCCCTTACTCTTTCTTTCCTTTCTTCCTTCTCTACCTATTCTTGGACTGCAACTCCCAACAGTCATCCTTATTAATCTGTCTACCTACCTATCTATCTCTATCTAATTTATCTATCTGGAGGATTGCTGGGAGTTGCAGTCCAGGAATATGAAATTGGAAATATGCAGGGACTGGGTTACTCTCAAAGAAATCCAAAAAGAAGACGGCTTGCAGCTTGGAAGCAGTGCATTTGGGTCTTCCTCGTCTCCTAAAGGACCTGGTCTAGGGGATGCTGGGAGCTGTAGTCTGGAAGAGAGTGTGGATATGCTGTTGTGTGTTTTGTTTGCTGAGGGGAGTCATTTCGTGCATGCGCTGTAGCGTCTTTTTGCTTTTTTGGCTTTTTAAGTCCCTTGTGTTTTTCAGTGTTTTTATGAGTGATGGTCACTCATTGGCCTGATAGGTGTCTTGTGTCCAAATTTGGTGTTAATTTGTCCAGTGGTTTTTGAGTTCTGTTAATCCCACAAACTATCATTACATCTTTCTTTATATAGACTAGCCGTCCCCTGCCACACGTTGCTGTGGCCCAGTCTGGTGATCTGGAAAATAAAGTAACGAGAAAGTATTGGTTTCTAATATATGTAATTTCTTTATGCTTGAGGGTAAACAGTATTTTTTGCTGTTTCTTTGTCAGTGTTGATATGGAGATTGACTGGTTTGCCTACTCTGGAACATGCAACATGCAAATTGTCCTTCTTTAAGGGTCCCTTTCAAATCTATGATACTATATCTGTGTATGTGTGAATCATATTCATCTATATCTATGGCTGGTTGGCTCTTTGTCAGGAGGGTTTTAATTAGGTTTTCTTGTCCTGGTGAAGGGAGTTGGACTGGATGGACTTAAGTATTTTTTGTTGGTCATGGCGGTTCTGTGTGGGAAGTTTGGCCCAATTCTGTCGTTGGTGGGGTTCAGAATGCTCTTTGATTGTAGGCGAACTATAAATCCCAGCAACTACAACTCCCAAATGTCAAGGTCCATTTTCCCCAAACTCCATCTGTGTTCAAATTTGGGCATATTGAGTATTTGTGCCAAGTTTGGTCCAGATCCATCATTGTTTGAGTCCACAGTGTCTCTGGGTGTAGATGAACTACAAGTCCCAAACTCAAGGTCAATGTCCACCAAACCCTTCTAGTGTTTTTTGTTGTTCATGGGAGTTCTGTGTGCCAAATTTGGTTCAATTCCCTCATTGGTGGAGTTTAGAATGCTCTTTGATTGTTCATGAACTATAAATCCCAGCAACTACAATTCTCAAATGACAAATTCAATTTTTTTCAGTGATGGTCACTCCTTGGGTCAGTAGCTTGTCTTGTGGCCAAATTTGGTGGCAATTCGTTCAGTGGTTTTTGAGTTATGTTGTTCCCACAAACTAACATTACATTTTTATTTATATAGATGAAATGAAATAACCTACTGAGGCAAGCACTGGAACAAAAACATTAAGAGACAACATGAAAGCATCTCCTAAAAGGCACCCAGGGATTTATTTTCTTTCTTTCTTTCTTTCACTCTTTTTTGCTCCCCCCTTTTCTCTCTCTTTCATCTGCTCAATGAAGGAATCTGGCGGCAGCTGCCATTCCTCTTGCCAGTTGTAAGCAGGTGCATAGAGCTGCAGAGTCAAGGCAGAGCCACATGTCTAGGCAAGTAACTGAGCCACTTTGTTCTCACACCATTGGCTCAAGGCAATCCTCAATCATACAGTAATCATCAGGAAGGCCTTAACTCATCCTCCCCAGTTCTAGGGTTGGCTTAACTGCTACGCAACATTACGTAGTTGTGGTTTTGACCCAAATGAAACTTGCCCGGTCCCGCTTTGGACAAAAAAATGGGGACATAATATCTTCAAACCCCAGATACGTAAGTCCAGACTTTCCAAACTCAAGCCATTTCACCATCTTGAGTTTTAGAAGCTTAAAGGAAGTTGGGGCAGACTTAGGTTGGCCGCGGGAAGTCATAATTCCAATTTACAAGACGTTTATTGCCACTTGCGGAAGGCATTTATGGAAGGAGGACAGCTCACCACCTTCCTGTAATAAAGAAAGGCATAGAGGGGTATGTGTGTGTGTTTACCCGTATATAGGACATGGGTAAATGAAACCACGCATATGAGGGACATCTATCTATCTATCTGTCTATCTATCTATCTATCTATCTATCTATCTATCTATCTATCTATTTATCTAACAAAAGTGAAATGTGTATGTGTGTATGTGGCGGAGGTGTCCCCTTACAGCCTCCACAAACAGGCTACAGTTCCAAGAGCTGGGAAGCCTCCAAAGGCACTTCAAGTGCTGAGAAGTCTACAAATGCACTCCCTCCACTGACATTGCAGGTTACAGCAAATGCCAGGAACATGTAGCCCAAACGCTGCCAATGTCCTCCCCAAACACTACGGCCCACCACCCAAGGAATGCTATCATTCAGAGAGGAATTTCATCCTTGATTTGACGTGTTTCCTCCGCCACAGGCAGGCATCTCAGGGTTCCTTGTGTGGAATTTGCATGACCCCACCCACTGCTCTCCCTTCACCCTTTCCTACCCTTTCCTATGGCACACAGCAAACACAGAGGAATTGGATCAGCAACTGGAAGGGTCCGACAATGGACCGGGACTAAACTTGGCACAGAGAAGCCCCATGACCAACTGAACATACTGCAGGGGTTTGGGGAAAATGGCCTTGATTTTGGGAGGTATAGTTCACCTACATCCTGAAAGCACTCAACCCAGTTGACGACAGATCTGGACCACACTTGGTACACAGACCCAACACAACCAACTGTAAATACTGGCTGAGTTTGGAGGTGATTGGAAATCTGGGAGTTGTAGTTTACCCTTATGCAGAAAGCACTGAACCTTGCAACCCCTCCAGAACTGGACTACACTTGGCACACAGACCCAACATGACCAACTGTAAATATTAGCTGAGTTTGGGGGTGATTGGGAATCTGGGAGTTGTAGTTCACCCTTATCCAGAGAGCACGGAACCTCGCAACCCGTCCAGAACTGGACCACACTTGGCACACAGACCCAACATGACCAACTGTAAATACTGGCTGAGTTTGGGGGTGATTGGGAATCCGGGAGTTGTAGTTCACCCTTATCCAGAGAGTACTGAACCTCGCAACCCCTCCAGAACTGGACCACACTTGGTACACAGACCCAACATGACCAACTGTAAATACTGGCTGAGTTTGGGGGTGATTGGGAATCCGGGAGTTGTAGTTCACCCTTATCCAGAGAGCACTGAACCTCACAACCCATCCAGAACTGGACCACACTTGTCACACAAACCTAACATGGCTAGCTGTGCACACAGGCCTGGTTTGAGGCGGATTGACCCACGATTCTGGGAATTGTAGTTAACCCACATCATTATGTATTTTCTAATGGGAACATTAATAAAAAATGAAATCAAAGACAGGATTTTTCTAATAGTGTTACTAATTAACTAATGATGTTACCTATTACCTCAAAACAAACAATGCCATTTTCAAATAACCTGGGCACTGCTGGGTACTCAAGTTAGTATTTTACAAATATTGGAGTGAGAGGAACCCTTGGTGCGAGGATGTTCTTTCGAGCTGTCTTATCTATTTGGCTCTCTCTTTTCCGCAGATGGGCCGCACTGGTGCTACCTTTCCCAGAAATGCCAGGACCCGCATTGTAAAGGTGAGATGACAAACAACAACCTCTTGGTGAACTTAACGCGTGCTTGAGTCTGCTTTGGATTGGGGCCAAAATGAAGTTTCCAAGTGAACAACACATCTGTGTACAAACTATTTGTATCGAAAACACACAAACATGTATACACCAAATCCTTTAACAACAATGACTGGGAGCGTGAGCCATTCTTTTCTTTGGACCACTGCCATTTTGATAATCCAGCACAAAGGTAGAGTTGGCCCTCCCTGGAGGGGTTGTTTCTTTGCCTCAAGGTCCTGAGTTAAATGAGCAAGATCCTGCAGAGGTTTCAGTGTCAAATGGTCAAGATCCTGCAGGCTCACCAAGGTTTGGAAATGGGGATTTTGGTCAGGAGAGTGTTATTAGCCAGAATGCAGCTGAGGATTCTGGGATAGTCAAGCAACCTGCCATATATGTATTTGTGTTGTTGTTATTTATTCGTTCAGTTGCTTCTGACTCTTTGTGATCTCCTGGACCAGCCCATGCCAGAGTTCCCTGTCGGCCGTGGCCACCCCCAGCTCCTTCAGAGTCAAGCCAGTCACTTCAAGGATACCATCCATCCACCTTGCCCTTAGTCGACCCCTCTTCCTTTTTCCTTCCATTTTCCCCAGCATCATTCTCTTCTCCAAGCTTTCCTGTCTTCTCATGATGTGACCAAAGTACTTAATGATGTTGTTTATTCGTTCAGTCGCTTCCAACTCTTCATGACGTCAAGCAACCTGCCATATATGTATTTGTGTTATTGTTATTTATTCATTCAGTTGCTTCTGACTCTTGGTGACCTCCTGGACCAGCCCATGCCAGAGTTCTCTGTCGGCTGTGGCCACCCCCAGCTCCTTCAGAGTCAAGCCAGTCACTTCAAGGATACCATCCATCCACCTTGCCCTTGGTCGGCCCCTCTTCCTTTTTCCTTCCATTTTCCCCAGCATCATTCTCTTCTCCAAGCTTTCCTGTCTTCTCATGATGTGACCAAAGTACTTAATGATGTTGTTTATTCGTTCAGTTGCTTCCAACTCTTCGTAACCACCCCCTGGACCAGCCCACGCCAGAGCTCCCTGTTGGCCGTGGCCACCCCCAGCTCCTTCAGAGTCAAGCCAGTCATTTCAAAGATACCATCCATCCACCATGCCCTTGGATCGGCCCCTCTTCCTTTTTCCTTCAATTTCCCCCAGCATCATTCTTTTCTCCAAGCTTTCCTGTCTTCTCATGATGTGACCAAAGTACTTAATGTTGTTGTTTATTCGTTCCGTCGCTTCCAACTCTTCATGACGTCAAGCAACCTGCCATATATATATTTGTGTTGTTGTCATTTATTCATTCAGTTGCTTCTGACTCTTGGTGACCTCCTGGACCAGCCCATGCCAGAGCTCCCTGTCGGCCGTCGCCACCCCCAGCTCCTACAGAGTCAAGCCAGTCACTTCAAGGATACCATCCATCCACCTTGCCCTTAGTCGACCCCTCTTCCTTTTTCCTTCCATTTTCCCCAGCATCATTGTCTTCTCCAAGCTTTACTTTCTTCTCATGACCAAAGTACTTCATCTTTGCCTCTACTATCCTTCCCTCCAATGAGCAGTTGGGCTTTATTTCCTGGAGTATGGACTGGTTTGATCTTCTCGCGCTCCAAGGCACACTCAGCATTTTCCTACAACACCATAGTTCAAAAGCATCTATCTTCCTTTGCTCAGTCTTCCTTATGATCCAGCTCTCACATTCGTAGGTTACTACGGGGAATATCATTGCTTTAACAATGCAGATTTTCATTGCCAGTGTGATGTCGCTACTCTTCACTCTCTTATCAAGATTGATCCTTGCTCTCATCCCAAGAAGAAAACGTCTTCTGATTTTCTGGCTGCAGTCTGCGTCTGAGGTCATCTTTGCACCTGTCACTGTCTCCATTTTTTCTCCCTATATTTGCCAGTTATCAATCAGTCCAGTTGCCAGAATCTTGGTTTTTTTATGTTTAACTGCAACCCAGCTTTTGCACTCTTTCATTCACCTTGGTTAGAAAGCTCCTCAGTTCCTCCTCATTTTCAGCCATCAAAGTGGTATCATCTGCATATCTCAGGTTATGAATGTTTCTTCCAGCAATTTTAACCCCAGCCTTGCATTTGTCAAGCCCTGCATGTCGCATGATGTGTTCTGCATACAAGTTGAATATGTTGGGTGAGAGTATACAACCCTGCCGTACGCCTTTCCCAATATTGAACCAATCTGTTGTTCCATGGTCAGTTCTGACTGTTGCTCCTTGGTCATTATACAGATTCCTCATGAGACAGACAAGGTGATTTGGGATCCCCATACATCCCACCAAGAACATGCCACAATTTATTATGATCCACACATTCAAAGGCTTTAGAATAGTCAATAAAACAGAAATAGATGTTTCTCTGAAACTCCCTGCCTTTCTCTATTATCCAGCAGATATTGGCAATTGGGTCTCTCGATCCTCTGCCTTTTCTAAACCCAGCTTGTACATCTGGCAACTCTCTCTCCGTGTCTTCCTGGAGTCTTTCTTGCAGGATCTTGAGCATTACCTTACTGGCATAGATGTGTTTGTACAAGAAGAAAAAGAGTCTGAGAGGGACTCTGGGCAGTCAAGGTCGGAATGTAAAAAGAATGCAGTAACTGGCACACCAAGGGAGGACCATATAGTTTTCGATAGAAGGAGTCAAATCAATCAACAACAACATCTGGAAGGGGGTAGAAGATGTTCTGAAAGATTAAGAGAGGAAAAAAAGCGTTCAGGGAGAGGTTTCCCAAAGGAAATGGAATGCTTTGCCATGGCTTTTTGAATAAATATAGGGCCTTTGAAACTGTAACTTTCAGTGGTACTAACGTTTAGGTCTGAAGAGCAATCCAAGTTTTCTCTGGCATGTTCATAGCTTTATTTTCATGCTGAGAATCCTATAATGTTTCTTGCTTTGGATCTATGTTCATGCCTTTTGATTTAATTGCTCAAGTTTGTTCCTGAATCATTTGTGTGACTTTGACTTTGAATTCCTGGATTATTTTGGGCTCACAGGCTCTCGTTCCTGTGGATTCTGCATCCTGAATTTGATGCTTGCTTTATGGCTTACTATGCTTAACTGACTGTTTTTATGGACAATGTTGTATTTTACTTTTGAATTCTTTTGCTGAAGCTATTTTTATTCTTCAATAAACTGCTTGCTTATAAAGAACTTTGGTGTGGTTTTGGGTTCAGAAGTGCATCCCCAGCCCTGGTGTGCAACACTCCCTATCCACGAATTCTGTATCCACAGATTTAACCAAGGAAAGCTTTAAAATTGGTCTCATTTCTATCACCAGAACCCCGGCAATGGGATGAGATGCCCGGCAGCACCTGCGGAGGAAATGCACAGTCCCCCATCAACATCGTCACCAGCAAAATAGAATATGACTGGAACTTGCTGCCTTTCCGTTTCGAGAAATACAACACCGAGCAAGCTTCAAACTGGGACATCGTCAACAATGGGCATACAGGTGAGTGGCCCAAACCTTGGCATTCGAGGCCTTATAATTGCCTCTACAGTGTTCCCTCACTTATTGCGGGTGTTACGTTCCAGGACCACCCGCTAAAAGTGAAAATACACAAAGTAGGGATACTCTGTGTGTGTGTATATATATATGTATATGTGTGTGTGTATATATATATTGCATTCCAAGAGTGAGGCAGAAGAGAGGAGAGAGTCTGAGATCATCTGGGGAGGCCCTGCTCTCGACCCCACCGCTATCACAAGTGAGGTTGGTGGGGACGAGGAGCAGGGCCTTCTCGGTGGTGGCCCCTCACCTGTGGAACTCACTCCCGGGAGAGATTAGGGCATCAACATCCCTCCTCTCCTTCAGGAGGAAAGTAAAGACGTGGTTGTGGGACCAGGCCTTTGGGCAATCTGACAACTAGATAAGGACAATCAAACGACTAGGACTGACAGGACTGACAATGTGGAATTGGAATTTGGACTATGAGATAGCGAACGCTGACCGTCTATGAGGAGTAATTAGGTTTGTATCGTTTTATTGGTTTTATTGGTTTTATTGGTTTTAGGGCTGTAATGCAGGAATTGATGTTTAACTGTTTTAACTGTTTAATTGATGTTATTTTGTGTTACTACTGTTATGTGATGTTGGCATCGAATCGTGCCTTTGTAAGCCGTCCCGAGTCCCCTTCGGGGTGAGAAGGGTGGGGTAGAAGAAACAGAAATAAATAAATAAATAAATAAATAAATAAATAAATAAATTAAAGGCACCGCACATTTTTTTTGCTAGTTATCTCTGCTTTGACCTTGACCTCACCTCTGAGGATGCTTGCCATAGATGCAGGCGAAACGTCAGGAGAAATGCCTCTAGAACATGGCCATATAGCCCAAAAAAACCCACAAGAACTGAGTGATTCCAGCCATGAAAGCCTTCGACAATACATGTACGTTCTCCATGGTTCTCAGTCCTAGCTGCAAAAGGCGGCACCTTGGAGAGACAGGCGTCCATTGAACAAGAAAGCCCTCTAATAGGGTTCCCTTAGGGTTGCCACAGTTTGAGTTGTTCAGGAGAGGTTTTCCTTCCTCTGAGATTGTGACTCAACCAAGGTCAAGCAGGGGCTGAAATCCCCTCCTGAGGAGCCTTTGTTTGGGCATCTGGAACCCTTTTGTCCCCCTCAGTCCAGGTGAATTTAGACGGATCGGCCAAGATCTCGTCCGGGGGCCTTTCGGGCAAATACAAGGCCATGCAGTTCCACTTCCATTGGGGCAACGATGCGGAGAAGTCCAAAAGAAGGCTCAGCCCCGGATCAGAACACAGCATCGACGGGGAGAGATACGCCATGGAGGTAAAGCTATCCATCTATGGATCTATCTATTGTCAAAGGCAGTGGTTCTCAACCTTCCTCATGCCGCGACCCCTTAATACAGTTCCTCATGTTGTGGTGACCCCCAACCATAAAAGTATTTTCGTTGCTACTTCCTCACTGTCATTTTGCTACTGTTATGAATTGTCATGCAAATCTATATAAATAAAATTGTAATGTTCGTTTGCGGGATTAACAGAACTCATAAACCACTGGACGAAATGACACCAAATTTGGACATAATACACGTATCAGGCCAACAAGTGACCATCACTCATAAAAACACTGAAAAACACAGCGGAAGAGACTTAAAAAGCCAAAAAATAAAAAAAAAACATTATAATGCATGCGCAAAACCACACGTAAACACACATATATACACATATACACAAATATATATACACACATAAAACACATAGACACAGCAACACGTGGCAGGGGATGGCTGGTATCTGATATGTAGGATGCATTTTCATTTACTGGACCAAATTTGGCACAAATACCTGATACGCCCAAATTTGAATACTGGGGGAGTGGATTGATTTTGTCACTTGGGAGTTGTACTTGCTGGGATTTATAGTTCACCTACAATCAAAGAGCATTCCGAACTCCACCAACAATGGAATTGAACTAAACTTGGCACACAGAACGCCGTGACCAACAGAAAACACTAGAACGGTTTGGTGGGTTGAGTTTGGAAGTTGTAGTTCATCTACATCAGTGGTTCTCAACCTTCCTCATGCTGCGACCCCTTCATATAGTTCCTCATGTTGTGGTGACCCCCAACAATAAAATTATTTTCCTTCCTACTTCATAACTGTCATTTTGCAACTGCTATCAATCGTAAATATGTGATATGCAGGATGTATTTTTATTCACTGGACCAAATTTGCCACAAATACCCTTATACGCCCAAATTTGAATACAGGTGGGGTTTGGGATTGATTTTGTCATTTGGGAGTTGTAGTTGCTGGGATTTATAGTTCACCTGCAATCAAAGAGCATTCTGAACTCCACCAACGATGGAATTGAACCAAACTTGGCACACAGAACTGCCATGACCAACAGAAAATATTGGAAGGATTTGTTGGGCATTGACCTTGAGTTTTGGAGTTGTAGTTCGCCTACATCCAGAGAGCACTGTGGACTCAAACAATGATGGATTTGGATGAAACTTGGCACAAATACTCAATATGCCCAAATGTGAACACTGGTGGAGCTTGGGGGAAATAGACCTTGATATTTTGGGAGTTGTAGTTGCTGGGATTTATAGTTCACCTACAATCAAAGAGCATTCTGAACCACAAAAATGACAAAATTGGGCCAAACTTTCCACATAGAACCCCCATGACAAACAGAAAATACTGTGTTTTCTGATGGTCTTTAGTGACCCCCCTGACACTCCTTCGTGACCCCTCCAGGGGTCCCAACCCCCCGGTTGAGAACCACTGACTTAAAGCACTGCACCTGTATCTCTGCTTTGCTTTGCAATCTCTCTTGATTGGCTGCCTCTCTCCCAAGGGGGAGGGTGAAACCCCCTTTCCACCCCCCATCATTGCCAGAAGGCGGGATTAGAACGCCGCTCTGGGCAACAGCAACCATTCATAAACTGGGAGGCAAAAAACCCGCGAAACAGCGAGTCTGCGAAAAGCGAACCACGAAGTAGTGAGGGAGCACTGTAGTACAATATAATAATATATGATACTAATATTGCGCTGTGCTAATAATATAATTTGTTGTAAACACATATAATATTATAATGTAATACAATATAATAATACTAATAATAAAACAATATAACAATTATATATTTTACATTATATGTAATATTACTAATAATATTATAGTATAGTGGTATAGTACAATATAATACATAACACTCATATTGTGCTGTGCTAATAATATAATATATTGTATACACATATAATCTATATAAATAAAAATGTAATGTTCGTTTGTGGGATTAACAGAACTCAAAAACCACTGGATGAATTGACACCAAATTTGGACACAAGACAACTAACAACCCAATGTATGTCCTTCACTCAAAAAATGGATTTTGTCATTTGGGAGTTGTAGTTGCTGGGATTTATAGTTCACCTACAATCAAAGAACATTCTGAACCCACCAACGATGGAATTGAACCAAACTTGGCACACAGTTCTCCCATGACCAACAGAAAATACTGGAAGGGTTTGGTGGGCAGTGTCCTTTGGTTTTGGAGTTGTAGTTCACCTACATCCAGAGATCACTGTGGACTCAAACAATGATGGATCTGGACCAAACTCTACACGAATACTCAATAAGCCCAAATGTGAACACTGGTGGAGTTTGGGGAAAATAGAATCTTGACATTTGGGAGTTGTAGTTGCTGGGATTTATAGTTCACCTACAATCACAGGGCATTCTGAACCCCACCAACAATAGAATTGGGCCAAAATCTCCCACACAGAACCCCCATGTGGGCCACAGCAACGCGTGGCAGGGTATGGCTAGTATTGATAATAATATTATAATTTAATACAATATAATACTACTTTGACCAGGGAGACAAAAACCCGCAAAACAGCGAGTCCGCGAAAAGCGAACCGCAAAGTAGCGAGGGAACACTGTATTGGTTTTCAAAATATTTTACAAAAACATATGGGAGGTATTCCCAACATTACCAGCTGGCTGGATTGGAAACCATTTGGAATAATTACGTCTAGATCACAATGCTCATAGTTAGTGTGGGAGTTGCAGTTCAAAAAGTGTTCTCAAATTCCGCCATTGTGCTGGTCATTAAGAGTCGTTCGGTCTACAAAAGACCATCTCATAATGATTCTAACTCCTGCGACTTATTAGAAATGTACAAGATTATAATGATAATGCTATTTAAAACAGGAAAATTAGTCTTTGCATTAGCAATGGGACACCTTTCTTTGACTTTTGGAACATGGGATGCCCAGATTCTCAATCATTCTCTTTCAGCTTCACATCGTTCACATCAAGGAGAACTACGCCGACATATCAGACGCCCTTAAAGAAAACGGTGTTGCAGTGCTTGGATTCTTTATAGAGGTATGGGAGCAATCATTCTGCTTTAATCTTGTGGTGAGAAAGTAGAGAAAATGGAGTGTTCCCTCTCAAAGGAAAGACTAAATGTCCAAAACTGGTTTCTCTCTCCTGCAGGTGGGCGAAAACAACGAAAATTACGTCCCTCTCCTTTCGCAGTTCAAAGAAATCCCTTTCAGCGGTAAGGAACGCAAACTTTACATAAAGTCATTGCTTTAAACCTGTGGTTCGTGGACCACCAGTGGTCTGCAAGAACTAAAATATGGTCCGTCCTCGTCATTACTACACCGTTGCAATGAGAGTGACTGGTCTCACGAACCCTCTAATAGTGCTGAGGCTTCATAAAATGGTTTTCTGTGGGCGAGCAGATGGTGACCACTGGGTGGCATATGTTCTGTATCAGGAACTGGAGCTGATGTGGTTTATCCAATGCAATTTTCTGAATCAGCAAACCAAATCACCAAACCAAATCTAACGTTGACCAAAAACTGATTCGTAACTCTTTTGGTACTAATCTTGGAGGTCCCTGGTCAAGTGGTCCGTGGTCAAGGTGATCCCTGGTCAAGTGGTCCCTGGTCAAAGTGGTCCCTGCTCAAAGGGGTACCTGGTCAAAGTGGTGCCCGGTCAAAATGGTCCCTGGTCAAAGTGGTCCCCGGTCAAAGAGGCCCCTGGTGAAAGTGGTCATTGTCAAGTGGTCCCTGGTCAAGTGGTCCCTGGTGAAAGTGGTCCCTGGTGAAAGTGGTCCCTGGTCAAGTGGTCCCTGGTCAAAGGGATACCTGGTCAAAGTGGTCCCCGGTGAAAGTGGTCCCTGGTGAAAGTGGTCCTTGGTCAAAGTGGTCCTAGGTCAAAGTGCTTTAATGTTTTAAAATATGTTTTAAAACATATTTGCCCTCCAGCCTTTTCGTCGTTTGTTTCCTTCCCTCCCCTGAGTTGATGAATATATTTATTTATACCCCGCTTTATTTCTCCCAAATAATAATAATAACACTTTATTTGTACCCCGCTACCATCTCCCCAAGGGACTCGGTGCGGCTTACATGAGGCCGAGCCCAAATACAACAATACAAGCAATAAAACAACAATACAAGTAATTAAAAAAACATAGACAATAAAATATACAACATTATCAATAAGACAGCACACAATTAAAAACAGTGGGAAGACCAAATGTAAAATTAAAATTGGAAGTGATGCTGGGACATGGACGAAAAGGTGATAGTGGTGTTTGTGGAAGGGCATACGAGCAGACCTAAAGAAATGTAAAGTGCTTTGGAGGACAAAGTGCTATGGGATCATTATTCCGGGAAGGCACACTGGAACAGCCACGTCTTCAAGCTCCTCCTGAAGACTGCCAGAGTTGGGGCCTGTCTGATGTCTTTAGGGAGTGAGTTCCAGAGTTGAGGGGCCACCACCGAAAAGGCCCTCTCTCTCGTCCCCACCAATCGCTGCCTGCGAGGCTGGTGGGATCGAGAGCAGGGCCTCTCCAGATGATCGAAGGGATCGTGTGGGTTCGTATATGGAGATGCGGTCACGCAGGTAGGCAGGTCCCAAACCATTCAGGGCTTTGTAGGTAAGAACCTGCACCTTGAATTGGATCCGGTAAAGGAATGGCAGCTAGTGGAGCTCCTTGAAGACTCAAAGAGGCTTTTGGAGCAATTGAAGCAAACTGAGCGAAAGAGGGGAAAGCGGGAGGCAGAGAGAGAGAAGCCAGGGCATTTCAAATGCAGCTTTAAAAAGTGGGACAGCAAAGGATTGATTGAGTTGGAAAATACAACATCTGGAAAATATCCCTCCAATTATATATTTTTAGGAAATAAAACGGTCATGCCGCCTTTACGCCTGGATTCCTTGATCCCGAAAGCGGAGGACCTCACCAGCTTCTACCGCTACAACGGCTCCCTGACAACCCCGAGCTGCAACCAGAACGTGATCTGGACACTGTTTGAGAAGCCCATTGAACTGCAGCTAGAGCAGGTGAGACCCACCAGATGACCTCGAGAGAGGCATCCAATCAAGAGAGATTGCAAAGCAAAGCAGAGATAGCTAGCAAAAAAAGAGGTGTATGGTGCCTTTAAATCTCTCCCGGCTTCTGCCTCACCCTCGTTCCTACTTTGCGGATTTTCACTTTTCGCGGGTGGTCCTGGAATGTAACACCTGCGATAAGCGAGGGAACACTGTACATATTTATTTATTTATTTATTTATTTACTTTGCTTATATACCGCTGTATCTCAAGCCCGAAGGCGACTCACAGCGGTTCACAAACAGTAAAAACAGTAGAAACAGCAGTGGTTCCATACAACATATAACTTGACTTAAACCTTCCCCCTCGGGAGAAAGGCCACCAATCAAGAGAGATTGATTCGTTATACAAATATAGCATCCCTACTTCGCGGATTTTCACTTTTCACGGTTGGTCCTGGAACATAATACCCACGATAAGTGAGGGAACATTATCCATAAATTAACAATAAGCAATTACAATGCACAATTATTACAAAAAACAACCGTACCCAATCTTCTCATCATCCAAGCGTATTATAACCCTCTGCTTCCATCTTGGTCCTCAGATCCAAGAGTTTTGGATGGAGCTCTATTTTGGCACAACTAAGGACAACTCCTGGATGGTGGACAACTTCCGACCCACGCAACCCCTCGGAAACCGAATCGTCTTCAAGTCGGACTCAAACTCCCTTCTGCCTCCGGCAAAACTGTTGCTCCTCATCCCGACAGCCGCATGCTTTTCCCTCTCTTTTCTCCACTGAGATTTCCCCTTAATCTGGCACTCATACTAAATCAATATAGGAGTGTGGGTCAAAAAGTTTTGCCTCCTGCATCATAAAAACGTTATGAACGAACCTATAGCAGCAGAAGTTGCTCCAGATCCTAGCCTGAACTGTCCTCTACTCGAAACTACCATTCAGCATAGTTGCCATCCATTAGGACACATTTGCACCATTCTTTAACCATTTTGGCAAAATTCAAGGTTTTGCTTTTGCTCTTTGAACGTCGTTCAAGTCATTGCATCTGAAACCATATTGGTTGTCTTTCAGAGGTCCAAACAGGTCAAAGTCAGAAAAGGGGCCAAATCAGAAACATTATTCAAGCGAGGATGGATTTCCTTAGATGCACAACCCTCGTTGGCCAGAAATTCAATGACAACTCTTCCTTTGAGCTTCAGAATCATGGTTCTAATCAGTCAATCAGAGTAAGAACAGATTACAGTGTTCCCTCGCTATTTTGCGGTTCGTTTTTTGCGGACTCACTGTTTCACGGGTTTTTGCCTCCCAGTTTATGAATGGTTGCCATTGCCCAGAGCAGTGTTCTAATCCCGCTTCCTAGCAACGATGGAGTGTGGAAGGGGGGTTCACTCTCCCCCAAGAGGGGTTGATTCAATATACATATATAGCATCCCTACTTCGTGGATTTTCACTTTTCACGTAACACCTGGAACGTAACACCCACAATAAGTGAGGGAACATTGTATATCAGTAGATTAAGGTTCCCTCTACCATATCATGCATAGATAGTCCAGTAAGAAAAGTTTAGAGCGATGCAGGCATTACTTTTTGACCCACCCTCATATATGGATATGTTTCAAGCTCACTTTCAGGTTACACTACAACCAGGGACAAATATTTCCCTCCCCTTTTCACCTTGTAGTCTCACAGCTTGGGAAAGCTACCTTTTTGATGTTTAGTTCAAAAACACCAGATCCTAAGAAATGGTAGTTGTGGATTCTGGGCTCCATCATAAAAAAAATCACCTAGAGAAACACCCAAGTCTGTCTGTATCCACTCTTTCTAGGTTTTGTTCTCACCCGATTAATCATACACAACATATGTTTATATCAGTGGAAAAATTCTTCATCAATCGATCAATTTGTTGAGTTGTTGTGTGTTTTCTGGGCTGTTTGGCCATGTTCGCGAAGCATTCTCTCCTGACGTTTCACCCGCATTTATGGCAGGCATCCTCAGAGGTTGTGAGGCCAGTTAGAAACTAGGAAAATGGGGTTTATATACCAGTGGAATGATGTTCGGGGTGAGAGAAAGAACTCTTGTCTGTTGGATTCAAGTGGGAATGTTGCTATTGGCCAGCTTGATTACAATCCCAACAAAAGATGCCTCCAGGCAGAGAGCAGCCAGGCATTGAAGCTGGTTTATATATCTGTGGAATAATATCCAGGGTGGGAGAGAGAACTCTTGTCTGTTCGATTCACGTGGGAACGTTGCTATTGGCCAGCTTGATGACCATCCTAACAAAGGATGCCCCCAGGCAGAGAGCAGCTAGGCACTAGAGCTGGTTTATACATCTGTAGAATAATACGCAGGATGGGAGAAAGAACTCTTGTCTGTTGGAGCTAGGTGTGAATGTAGCAATTGGCCACCTTGATTAGCATTTAATGGCCTAGCAGTTTTAAAGTTATGACTTCTTACTGCCTGGAAGAATCCTTTGTTGGGAGGTGATTAGCTGTCTCTGGTTGTTTATTGTCTGGAATTCCCCCGTTTTTTTATCAACCAGAGAAGTTAGCCATCACAGAGCATCCGATGAACCAACCTGGACACAGAATTGTTGGACCACTTTCACAACCACCATGTCAGGCTACACAGAGAAGCCACTGAAATCCACAAGCATGTTGACAATCTCAACAGAAAGGAAGAAACCATAAAAATGAACAAAATCTGGCTACCAGGATTAAAAAAACTCCAAAATTATAACTGTAAATAAAGAACAACAGGGGGAACTCCAGCCAAGAAATAATCAGGGAAAGCTAATCATTCCCCAACAAAGGATTCCCCCAGGCAGTAAGAAGCCAAACCCTGAAACTGCTAGGCCATTAAATGCTAATTAAGGTGGCCAATTGAAACATTCACACTTCCCTCAAACAGACAAGAGTTCTTTCTCCCGCCCTTGAGATTCCACAGATATTGTAAGACTGTAGGATCTATATAGCAATATTAAATGACCACTCACAAGCTGGTTTTGCTTTGAAATGGATATATTGCTTGTATCTCTGCAGCAAAGAAAAACACTACTGACTTTTTCCCACCACCACTTCCTTTTATACATCTTTCCTGTCCAACTCCCCCCTCTTCTCAGTTTCCTTATTAGAGCTTGTTGCTTCACAAATTCCAATACAAGGTTTCCAGTGCCTTCTGCTGGCTTCAAAATGTCACAGAGAGAGAATTGAGGCAGCCAGGATGATTCAGGCAGGATGTCACAGAGGGAATTTGTGATGTCTTCATGCCATCAGAAATTGACTCCTGACAGATATATAAATCCCATTTTCCTAGTTTCCCACAGACTTCACAACCTCTGAGAATGCCTGCCATAGATGCAGATGAAATTTCAGGAGAGAATGCTTCTGGAACGTGGCCAGACCGCCTGGAAAACATACAGCAACCCAGTGATTCAGGCCACCAAAGCCTTTGACAAATCAATTGGTTAAAGTCTGATTTGTAAATTACCTCATGTAATAGTGTCGGAGCTTAACTGCTGTATGTACTGCTTCTTAACAGAATAATATGCAATGGTGATTTTGGGAGAAAAAGATAGACTTAAAACATTACGGCACTGCAAATTGCCTATTAACCCTCATGCTAAATCATGCCTTGGGGGACAGAATCGTGGACTACAAAGCTCAGCATCCCATCAGGATTGCCACTGAGGATTCTGGGTGGTGCAATCCATCAGAAGTTTAGGTTTGGTGTCATTGTTGCTTTGTTTTCCATGGATCGTTTCCTTCAAAGCCTATCCTTTCAAAGTGGAAATATTTTCTTCAATAGCAAAAATAATAATAATAATAATAATCGAAAATCGGGATGAAAACTGGGATAATCAGCACCAATATATACACAGTGTTCCCTTGCTACTTTGCAGTTCGCTTTTTGCGGAATTGCTGTTTCGCGGGTTTTTGCCTCTCAGTTTATGAATGGTTGTCGTTGCCCAGAGCAGCGTGCTAATCCTGCCTCCTGGCAACGATGGAGTGTGGAAGGGGGTGCCATCCTCCCCCTTGGGTAGGGGGGAGAGGGCAGTACATATATAGCATCCTTACTTTGTGGATGTTCACTTTTCGCGGGTGGTCCTGGAACATAACACCCGCGATAAGTGAGGGAACACAGTATATATATATATATTTGTATATCCAAAGTGAATGCCTAACACTGTATTTTTGTATTATTTATGATGTCTTGGGTTTGGGAAGGAAATAAATAAATAAGAATGCCAACTAAACAATGTAGTGTGTATTCCTGGTCCACATTTCTGATTTGTGCCTTGATTAGGAGATAAAAGCAGGATAATAATAAGTATGGATCATTGCAGTTGCAATCCCAGGCGACAGCAGAATTGAAGAGAAACAACTGGAAAAGCTGACACGATACAAGGATTTCAAGATCAAACTGCAGAAGACAGTCAAGGTGGTCCCAGTGGGGATCGGCACACTGGGCGCAGTGCCTCAAAACTTTGGCCTGCACTTAAACACAATTGGCGCTGACAAAATTACTGTTAGCTGCAAAAGGCCACACATTATGTTTGACCTTTCCATGCCATCAAAGAACTTGACGGTGGCCAAATATCGCTGCCTATTTTCCAAAGCAAGGTGCAATGTGCTCCCGTCTGAATTGCCGTGTGGGAGATTTGCAGGTACCCCATATAATGAAAGACTTTGCCCATGTCACAAACAGGAAGTAGAGTGCATCTACCACATGCTACTGTCATGCAGTTTCTATGAACAGGCTCGAGAACACATGTTTAACCCCCTCTCAGTTTATGAATGGTTGCCGTTGCCCAGAGTAGTGATCTAATCCTGCATCCTGGCAATGATGGAGTGTGGAAGGGGGTTTCATCCTCGCCCTCGGGTAGGGGGGAAGGGGCAGTACATATATAGCATCCCTACTTGGGGAGCAAGATACATAAGAGCAAGAGTGCAGCTCACAAAAGGCAATGTCCCACAGTCTCGGTTTGATTGATTTGCTAGCCAGGTCAAAACCTAAATGAGTTAAGAGGGATGTGGAATGGCCGATGGAGGAAGCTTTCTGAGAATTGATCTTAAACCAACTGCTTATGTACTCTCCTGAGCTAAGTGGAGCATCAAACCGGACCCTAAACTAAAAAATTATAATATAATATATAAAACTATGAACTATAATATTTAGAATATTATAATGTAATATAATAATAATAATAATAATAATACAATATTATAATTATATATTTTATATTACATGTAATATTACTAGTAATATTACAATATAATGATGTGTTGGAGGTTCCTTCTGTGCAGTGGAGGCTCCTTCTGTGTGTTGGAGGCGCCTTCTATGTGGTGGACGCTCCTTCTGTGGGTTGGAGGTGCTTTCTGTGTGGTTGAGGCTCCTTCTGCGTGGTGGAGGCTCCTTCTGCGTGGTAGAGGTGCCTTCCATGTGATGGAGGCTCCTTCTGTGTGGTAGAGGTGCCTTCTGTGTGGTGGAGGCTCCTTCTGTATGATGGAGGTTCCTTCTGCGTGTCGGAGGCTCCTTCTGTGTGGTGGAGGCTCCTGTGTGGTGGAGGTGCCTTCTGTGTGGTGGAGGCTCCTTCTGCATGGTGGAGGCTCATTCTGCGTGGTAGAGGTGCCTTCTGTGTGATGGAAGCTCCTTCTGTGTGGTAGAGGTGTCTTCTGTGTGGTGGAGGTGAGCCCGAGCGCGGCAGGGAGCCCCGCCTTCACATTGGTGTGAGCCGCAGCAGAGAGTTCCGCAGTTCCTGGGTCAAGTTTTGGGGACCAACAGATGAAATGTGCCCCAGCAGCCAGCTCAAAACCAGGAATGCCTGCAACTTTCCTTTTGCTTTCCCCTCTCCCTACTTTGTATCATTCCCCTAATAAAGGTACTTGAAACTTGCAACTTTTAATCTCTCCGCTTGATACTTTTGTATCTTTCCTGACTCAAACTAAAACCACACTGAAATAAACCTTTTTCCGGGCTCCGGAGAGCCGTGAGCCCGCGGGAGGCGCCTCCGGGCGCCCCCCGGACCCCGAATCTGCGTCCGCCCAAACCGCGGATACGGAAACCGCCATTTCAGACCCCCTTATCCGCGAAAAATCATAAAATGGCGGATTGCCGCCGTTCCAATTTTATATTTTTCTGCTACTAATCCTAAGCCTAACTGCTGTTTCCCTTTTCTCATTTTGGGCTCCTACACCCGGGAATAAATTGGTTTTGTTTCGAGTATTTTATTTAACAGAAATCAGCTGTTTGTCAATTTGGCCGGGCTCTTCCCAGACAGTTCGTTTCTCCTCGGCGGTGCTCACTCCTGCCTGGATCCAGCAACCGGGGACCCACTGTGGCCACCCGCAGGAGACCCCGGGAAGGCAGCCAGGCGTGAGTCCCGGTCTCTGACATGAGAGACATAGTTTCCCAAAGGACAGACATGGACACTGCCCCGCCATTGCAACCCGGAAATCCTCCTTGGACTCTTTTTGCCCTCTCCTATTGACTTTCTGCCCCACGTCTCAGACTGTTTACTGCCATACCTTTGGACACGAACCTTCAGACCAGACTTGCCCTGAAGAGCAAGCAGCCTCCGTTTCCGCGTGCCTTCACCAAGAGACCATGAATTTCTTCAATAATAATAAAAATCGACTATTTTAATAAACTTTGCTTGGGATGGGGATGGGATTTGCCTTATGAAATGTATGTATTGAAATGTCATATAAAGTATATTGTGTTCCCCTTCCCGCCTTTCCCCACTGACCCTTGCCCCATAAAGATGTGACCTGGGGATTACTGTCTTGGGGAGGAACTCCTTTGTCCTCCCGAAACTCTTCCTGATTGTTTCATTTGCATGGACCATACTGTTGTTTCCCCCCAACCCTGGCCCTCGGAGCAGACCAGCGAGGGGAGGGGGCCAACAGAAACTCGGAAAGAAAAGACTGATTAAATCACCCAGGTATCGTTGACCCCCCCGAGGTCCGATATCGAAAAAGCCTTTTCATATTTCCTCCAAATCCCATCACAGACCAGGAAACTCATTGTTCCCCTATCTGACACCCCGCCAGTGAGGACAATAGCCTCACATTCCAGCTGGCGGATGCCCCTAAGCTTATCATTTCCTCAGCCATTGTCAGGCTTCATCCCGCCTCCTAGCTGCCGATTGGTCCATCTTCAGAGGCGCTAGGAAGGCACTGATTGGCCTCCCAGAGGCGGCGGAGCCCACTGATTGGTCCAGAGGCGAGGCGTGCCGCCAAGCCTCCTCCCAGCTGTTCCGCGGCCAGCCAATCAGCGTGAAGCCGGCCGGCAGAGGGCGGGCGGGAATTTTGAAACTGTTTTTCTTTGTCTGCACACTATAAAAATGCTTGGAAATTCTGTAAAATTATGCTTGTATGTGAATGATCACTACAATCGCATCCTTTTCAGCTGAATCGCAGAATAAACGCCTCGGTCACTGAACCTCTTCCGCCTCCGGTGAGATTGATTTTTAAATATTTTTGCATTCTTTGGATTGGCTTCGCTGGCCTCACCGAGGTTCAAGGACCCTTTTGAGTGGTCCTAAGGGATCTCTCCCGCTGGGAGACCCCCACAAAAGAGCTCGATATCAGAGGCTCCTTCTGTATGATGGAGGTCCCTTCTGCGTGTTGGAGGCTCCTTCTGTGTGGTGGAAGCTCCCCTTCTGTGTGGTGGAGGCTCCTTCTGTGTGGTGGAGGCGCCTTCTGTGTGGTGGAGGCTCCTTCTGTGTGGTGGAGGTTCCTTCTGCGTAGTGGAGGCTCCTTCTGCGTGTTGGAGGCTCCTTCTGTGTGGTGGAAGCTCCCCTTCTGTGTGGTGGAGGCTCCATCTGTGTGGTGGAGGCTCTTTCTGTGTGGTGGAGGCTCTTTCTGTATGGTTGAGGCTCCTTCTGCGTGGTGGAGGCTCATTCTGCGTGGTGGAGGCGCCTTCTCTGTGGTAGAGGTGCCTTCTGTGTGGTGGAGGCTCCTTCTGTGTGGTGGAGGTTCCTTCTGCGTGGTGGAGGCTCCTTCTGCATGTCGGAGTCTCCTTCTATGTGGTGGAAGCTCCCCTTCTGTGTGGTGGAGGCTCCTTCTGTGTGGTGGCTCTTTCTGTGTTGTGGAGTCTCCTTTTGTGTTGTGGAGGCTCCTTCTGTGTGGTGGAGACTCCTCTTCTGTGTGATGGAGGCTCCTTCTGTGTGGTGGAGGCTCCTTTTGTGTGATGGAGGCTCCTTCTGTGTGGTGGCTCTTTCTGTGTGGTGGAGTCTCCTTTTGTGTGGTGGGGGCTCCTTCTGTGTGGTGGAGGCTCCTTCTGTGTCGTGGAGACTCCTCTTCTGTGTGGTGGAGACTCCAGTTCTGTGTGATGGAGGCTCCTTCTGTGTGGTGGAGGTGCCTTCTGTGTGGTGGAGGCTCCTTCTTTGGAGGCTTTTAAACAGAGGCTGGATGGCCATCTGTCGGGGGTGCTTCAATTGCAATTTTCCTGCTTCTTGGCAGGGGGTTGGACTGGATGGCCCATGAGGTCTCTTCCAACTCTAGGATTCTATGACCTTCCCCACGTGACCTTGGCGGTTACCAAATTTCTTTCTGTGGCAGACAGAATTAGACAATTCCCAATTTTAGACATAGGCTGAAACATGCTGGCACTTCTTGTAGTCTTTTACCTTTGTATTTTAAGCAGTTTTTACTGTTTGCAAATTTTACCCATTTGTGTGTTCAATCAACTGGATGTTCTTAATCTCATTACTTGCATAACTTGTATGCTACAGTGTAATAAGGGTCTTTGGACCATAATAAAAATGTTGTTTTTGTAACAGCTAGCATAGTGATCTTATTTGCTGTGTACTCATCTTGTTCCCTTGCCAGTAATAATAATATACTTTGGAGGGTGGGTGTTCTTCAAACGTGACGACCAAATGGGCTCATTGTGGGCTTCAGGGGATTCTGGGAGCTGTTGTTGAAACAAATACTGCAACTGGTTTTGCTAATCCCAACCTAATCTCTCACGCCAGCCCTTCAAATGACATCTTCCAAGCAAAGAGGCCAAACACAAGGTGTGGGGCTCCATAGACAAATGGATCGACGCCCTGCCAAAAATAAACCTGGACTGATGCCACTTTCGGAACGAAGGCGGCAAGCGCACATGCAGCCCTCCCTGTTTATTTGATCAGAAATAAACTTCCTTGACTTGGCCCTTCAAATGGCGCCAAGGGAGGCCTTTGGAGTGTGCCGGGAACTCATTTCCTGCGGAACAAAAGGACTTCATACGGGCGGAAGTTTTGATTTTCAT